GTTTATTTCCTTACATCTAGTTACATTTTCTTAATCACTTATATCATTTACTTCTCCTGTTTGCCTTTCCTGTTTTTTTTTAGAATTGTTTTGAACTGACATTGAATATTAAGTCACAAAATCGTTTCATCATTTAACATTTCAAAGTTATCCAAGTCTATGAGAAAAAGATTATGCTCAATTTACACCTTCATTGCACAAATCTGTTCGATACTTAGTTACTAAATTTTTTAAAGGCTTTGTGTTATGACTTTTATTTATTTACTTTTTTTTGTTACCCTTCTGATAACTTTTTTTTAACTAATACTCCATTTTCAGAAGGGGTTTTGTGGAGATTTTAGTATTATTATAGAGTTGAGATCATGAGTCAATTGAAGCTAGACTACCATGGAAAACCTGGAAGCACTGGACGGCCGTTTCGTCCTATTATGGGACTCCTCAGCAGTGCGCGTCCACGAACCCACTCTCGCGGGATTCGAACCTATAAACATTCGAACTCTATAAAAATACTAAAATCTCCACAAAACCCCTTCTGATAATAATCAGGTGCTCACTAGTGACTGACTCCTTGAGGTATTTCCTGGAGTTCTAGTGAGAAGCAGTAACCGGTGGAGTTCAACCAGGTCTGTTGTGAGATAGGAACTCACTGATGACATTGGTGAATGGTTGCTCAATTTCGTGAATCAGTTGAAGTTAGAAATTAACACCGTTGGATGCCAGCTCAGTGGTCTATCGGTTAAGGGCTTCGGCTCGAAACTGGTAGGTCCTGGGTTCGAATCCCGCGAGAGTGGGTTCGTGGACGCGCACTGCTGAGGAGTCCCATAATAGGACGAAACGGCCGTCCAGTGCTTCCAGGTTTTCCATGGTAGTCTAGCTTCAATTGACTCATGATCTCAACTCTATAATAATACTCCATTTGTTATTAAGATGTCACAAAAGGTAGAAACTTATTTACGAATCGTTTTGTTTTACTTTTTCGACGTAGGATATTAAGATTCTTTAAATTATAAAATAATTGATTTGTTAGTTAATTAATGTATTGTGATCTTATAATTTCAGTATGGCGATCTGTGGAGATTGTATATGGGTGTTCTACTGTTGTCGTTAGATATAAGTTGCATGCATCGCCAATCGAAAGCGAAATATGTGGCGGCAGAAGGTTAAGAAGATGGAAGTGACGAAAACGAGATTGGGGGGTGACTGATATGAAAAGGAAGGAATAGTCAAATCTGAGACAATTAATTGATATTTTGCAAATAAAGTATTTAATATGTGGATCTGCGATTTTACGAAGTGATTAGTTGGCTCTGTCTGTGTTCTTGTTCACTACATTTGGTACTGTTGCGAGTAGTGTTTTCACAATTGAATTCACAAGTTCATCTAAACTAGACGACCATTGAAAACCTAGAAGCACTAGACGGCAATCTCGTCCCTATGTGGGACTCTTCAGCAGTGCGCATCCACGATTATTGAATACTGTCAGTACAATGATCTATCACGTCACAGAACAATCATATTATAAACTAAAGTTACAAGATTTTAATAGTAATTATATAAAATAACTGACTACTTTGCAAATTTATAGAGAAACAATGAACACATTCAAATCAATATATGTTGACTACTTATTTTTCTTTAAAAATATACTAACTATTACTATTATTTACGAAACCATATATCTTCACTATTGCACTAAACATCTTTTCAAAATCCTTTATTTTATGGTCTGATAAACTAAGGTTTCTTATCTTTTGTTCAAATCATAAACGAAACTAAAGGCAGAGTACTCTACTCTCTAGATTTGATGTAAATATGTAAAACGAAGTGATAATTCTATATTAACAAATGATTTTAAGTTATCACTTACTTTTTGAAAACGTATGAAAATGAACATTGAATTTAGTTTTAAAGAAACCATGATTATTTAAGTAGTCTTTATGGTCTTACTTAACTTTTTTACTTACTCAATCTTCTTTTAATGGTAAAATGTTAATAATTCTATGACTAAAATAGGTGAGGATCTTTCTTGTAAAGTACCCTATCCCTTTCCTTTTTAATTATTAACTTTACATAATGTGAGTTGAGTAGTGTACAGACACGCAAAATTCAAACAGATTACATTTTTTTAATTATTGTAATAGGAAATCATTTGATTTAATCATAGTTCAGTTAATAATCATTCAACTGTCATTTAGTTGTTACACAAATCAAGTGTTAAAAAATTAAATCTTATTCTTTAAAATATTATATCTTTGTTCCATGTGAAGATAGTGCTAACATAAACTAAATATGATTAGAAAGTAATAGAGTAGAATGTATCATAGTAACACATATTTAGTAATTTTATGGTTAAAACCATTAGTCAATTGAAGCTAGACCACCGTGGAAAACCTGGAAGCACCGAACGGCCGTTTCGTCCTATTGTGGGACTTCTCGGCAGTGCGCATCCACGATCCGACCTCGCGGGATTCGGACCCAGGACCTATCAGTCTCGCTTGCGAATACTTAACCTCTAGACCACTGAACCGACAGGCAACCAACGGTGTTAATGTCTAACTTCTACCAATCCACGAAATTGAGCAACCGTTCACCAATGTCTTCAGTGAGCTACTATTTCACAACAGACCTGGTCGAGCTCCACTGATCACTGCTTCTCCCTAGAACTCAAGGAAATACCTTTTGAAGCCTACCTAGTAGTTAATTAGATGTGGCATTTTATTCTTAGTTAACGTATTGATCAATTATTTGTTTATTTAATATATCGATATTGCCTTTGAACTCAGTAGGCTGAATGAAAAAAATTTGAATCTTTCCAATTAGATGGTACACGATTTTTATCCGCGCTAGTTCACGTTCATTGGTAACAACAGTAAAAGATTGATATTTCACTGCTAGATTTCTTTTGTAAGTGACAATGCCCTGTATTTTTTCTCGTATTTGATAACATTCTTTTCGTAGATAATATTACAGTTATCTTTTTTACTGCTCTGCCTTTCATCATACATAAAAAAGAATATAATGATTGTGTCTTTTTTTTTTCAAAAACGTTGATTTTACACGCTTTTTAAATCCTACTAGTGATTTTCAAAGTCACTAACAAATCACATACAAAGACTTCAGGGTAAATCGGTTGAAGACTAGTGGAATAACTTAAAAGTACATTTCTACTTGAAGTAGACTCTCTTAATATTGTCACGAACAATAGTCAAAACTCCATGAATAGATCATCTAGCTCATAGAACTTAACATCACTAAAGTGATTCACCTACTTAATCAACTAATATTTTTATTCTACACTTAGATACTGTTTACATTTGTAGTCTGAGCATATTAGTACTTGAACGGATAAATAATCAAGTGTCAAGAATTCATTCTGAATAAATATTCTTATTCAGTTGGTATAACGTTTTAAAAATATTTAGAATCGTACATTTTAAGTTCTCATTAATATCAGAAAAAATCTGAATAAAATGGCTTGAAATTAGGTCTAGTTTATTAAAATATTTCATAAAATGGTGTGATAAGTTTTTTATATGTAGTTTACATAGTCTCGAAGAATTCCGGATAAACGTTTAAGCTGTGGACGTTGGATACTTTGTTCTTTTAATTTAGTGACATATAGTGTCGGTTGCTATGTTAAGTTCGCACAACTTATTCTAGCTTCTGGACAGGCAAATCTATTCACTCTTCTTTAGTCACATTGAGACTTTGCCAATTATTCACTCATCAACTTTGACTGTTTTTATGTCAGTGTATGTGTGCACTTTTTGAACTGGTCATCACATGTCTGTAACTTATTTTTGTGTGACTATAAATATCGATTAACGCTTGGCTCAGTGCCTTCGTCAATCTGCTTCGCTCTTCTCTCTTTGTTTCGTCTCCATGATTGCTTGTTCAAATCAATGAATGCATGAAATATACATACTCAAAATCCATTCTTGTATTTGACTTATGCAATTCCGTTATTTACCAACGTGGATCAAGTCGATAATTATATACGACGATAGCCAACATATGTATTTTAATAAAAATCTGCATACAATTCAATTGAAGTGAGATATAGGGCCTCTAAAACTAATTATTATGAACTACTGGAGAATATCAAACTAGAAGAAAATAACCATAAACTGTCATCTAGTTATAATCAGTCAAAACATTTTGCGATAACTGTTGACTTAAAATTACGAAAATCTTTTGATAAAACCAAATACATGAAAGATTAGAAGGGGATTTGTGGAGATTTCAGTATATTTCAAAGTTGAAATCATGAGTCAATTGAAGCTAGACCACCATCGAAAACCTGGAAGCACTGGACGGCCGTTTCGTCCTATTATGGGACCCCTCAGCAGTGCGCATGAAAGATTATTAGTGTAGATTAAATATTCAAAGAGGTTAAAAACGCTATGAATATTAATACAGTATACCATGTTTTGAATAGAAATCAGTGACTTGTACCTTATAGTGTCTGATATCACAGAATGGTTGACAGATCAGAGATTTTGTGATCTTAACATTTTTTATGTTGTATTAATATTAAAAAACCTCAAATAAAAGAACTTATTTTCCTAGGAAAATTAACATTTGATTTTCATGTTTATTTTAAAGAACTATAATTTATTAATATTTAAAGAAGTGATTGCTTGAAAAAGCATTATTCTAACTTAACAAGATGATAGATGCTTCTTTCAGTTCATGACCCGTATTTCATTTTGATATTACTGACATAATTAAATCCATAACCAATCAGACATATATTTCTTATGTCATTACAAAGTTTATCAGACTACATAAACTCCTAAATATATATATATATATATCTTATTAGCAACATTTTTGAAATGACAATTAGTTTACTGGTAACGATTCAAGTATCATAATTTACAGATGGTAAGTTACTTTTATGGGCGTACTTTTTTTTCTCAGAAAAAAATATATACACCCTATAGTAACGATAATAATGAAAAATGATCAGGTCAAATTTATATTTTACTAAAACTCACTTTTAAGTTTATTATTAATCCAAATAAGAGTATTTCTTTTGAACTAAAGGCTCTAATATAACTTTTCAATGAGTAGTTAAGGTTTTATTAGATTTATCCTACACATTTTAAGTCACTTTTAATGTAAGTTGAGTATTAATATACTTCACGAAATACACATTTGATTTCATGAACATATTCCACCATATAATAATCCACCATTAAACTAATGTTTCAACAACAAAAACAATAACAAAAAAGAAAAGAAAAACTAAATGATGAATTGTTTTATAACCTTTTATCCATCATATGAACCAATCATATTACCATGTGAATTAAACTGTCAATATTTTGTTTGTCCGTACAACTAAATATTAATTTTTCTAATGTGTGTGTGTGTGTATGTGATACAAACACACCTTTAACATAATGATGACTGTTCTTTTCTTTTCCCTATTGTATGTAAGGTTACTATTGTTTTTTTTCAATAGATTGTTCTCAAATTTTTACTCTTTACAAGAGTTAAGGAACATATAGTAGCATATGAGAAAGTATGCATAAATAATCTATAATATGGAGCCTATTTAAATCCTGAGTCCAATGAGGAATTTTGTTGTTTTCATTATTTATTTAACTACTAAGTTAGTTTCGATAGTGTAACAAGAAGACGAAGATCTTCGTCTTTCTTTATACGTCTGATGAAGATTTATTATTATATTTTTATAAATTAAGTACGTAAGTGTTAAAAATTTGTACCTGGGAATTGAACGAAGATCTATTCAGTAGATACAATGAGATCAATCCTAATTTCTGGAAATGACATAATTTTAGTTACAGTTTAGAGAGACAATTTAAATATATCCTAACTGCTGAGAGAATCTAAAAGATCATGGATCGATTGAAGCTGAACATTAACACAGTTGAATGTCGATTCACTGGTCTAGAGACTGAAAGTCATGAGTTCGAGTCTCACATGCGGGATCGTGGATGAGTACTGCTGAGGAGTCTCATACTAGGACGAGACGACTGTCCAGTGCTTTCCGGCTGTCAATGGTTGTCTAGCTTAGGTCGAATCGTGAATTCAACTGTGAAAATACTACGATCTCCACAAATCCCTATACCTTTTTTATTAAATTCCCTTTATCTTACCCTCCATTTGTCTAGTTGACATTTTATTTCTTACACATAAATATTCTTTACAAATATATGTGCGGTCAGATTGTTTGAAACGTATTCACATATTACATCACATTTTCCTAATAATCTTCAACTTCTTACTATATTATCCAAAATCTTGTAGTTTCTGGTCTTCGATTAATGAAACAGTAGACTTTTTTTGTAAGTAAATTGGAAACGACATCCTTTGAGTGTCACTTAATTGTATTTAATGTCTCGAATAAGCTTTATAAATTGTTTACGACATGTTTCATTAAGTCTACAATGAAAACCCTTGTACGTTTGGGGAACTGTAATCACTTTGACGAATATATCCTGTATCTTCTGGTTAGTATTAAAAAGTGTGTAAAGTTACATCAATGACAATAATATTTTGTAGCCGTCATTTTTTAGTACCAATGTATGAAATTACGATTGATGACCTTCAAATAGTACTATAAAAATGTCATAACTCTTTAAAGCTCTCATTTAATGTCAATCTTGTGGTTATACTCATAAAAGCCTACACAAAACAGGAATTTTTGATTGAAATATGTGTATCTTTTAATTCGTAACTCCACTGAGTTTACTGGTTATTTACTAATTACTTACTGTATCATCAAGTCTTAATATATTTTCAAAATGATAAAAATCATCCATCAATATTCTGGAAATACTTAGATAGCTGAACATTTGTGTAATGATTTGATATTTCCAGTACATGTATTAAAAAAAATTCATCACAGAAAGCATCAAATTAATATGTTATACTTGTCAAACGTATGAGAGGAAAACAAGAAAAAGACATTGATATCACTTCATCCCAGCGCATTCCTCTACTTTTTTAAACACTTAATCGCGTACTGACAAAAACAATATCATAGTTAGTTAAACCAACTGTTCACATGCGATTAGGTAGTTATTTGATTAATTCATAGCTGCACATAGAGCTATGAAGAACTGATTTTAAATCAATTTTTACTTTTATCAAATAAAAGTTTCTTTCCTTAGTAATTAAATTTAAGATAATACCATCGAAGTAAGTAGATAATATCACGCTTACAAAAAATTTCTGTTCAAGGATCAAGAACTTAAAATTAATTTACACGACCAACTAGAGTTATGTTGTGGTTTCGGACTTTCCATTCATGTACATCAAACGACGGATTTCTGTGCTCTTTGGTTTGTTGAAGTTTATTATTATGATTAATCAAATAGTGTAATTCCCTAATGATAATGTAATTCCTAATAAAAAATGATCATAAAACTTTATTTCTGAAAATAAATAGAATCATCAAATAATCAGACAGAATTTTAAAAAATTTAAAACAAAGTCGTTTCAAATGCTTTTAGAAATCACTTGATATATGTACCTGTATGATAAACTTATAATCACAGTTACATCAGTTATATTTTTTATGGCCATGTATCGACTACAGATAGATCATATTATTATAGTTGTTGAAATATACATATAGTCAATCCTCGTATAGAACTACTTACTTAACTTGCGTTAGTGAATAACGTAATTAAATAAGCTAAATACGAAGATGAATTTCGAATACGTACATTTCATACAATCGTTGATCTAGACAAACGAGTGAAGATAAGAGAACGAAGCGAAATGACGCGCAGTAGAGAAGGCGTGTAAGTCAACTCGATTTGATCAAGCGTTAATCCATATTTATAGTCACACAAAAATAAGTTACAGACATGTAGTGATCGAGGTAAGAAGTGCACACACATACGCTCCTATAAAAACAGTGAAGGTTGATAAGTGAATAATTTATAAGATCTCAATGTGACTCAAGAAGAATGAATAAATTTGCCTATACGGAAGCTAAAATAAGCTATGTTGGCTATCCTAGCAACCGACATGGCATATTTATTCTACAGATGCACCGACTTCTAGCAATTATGAAGGATTTTCAAAAGAAATTAAACTGTTCTATGTAGTCAATATTTAATGAAATCATTTGGACTGGTAACAAAACAGAAAACATAACAGAAGCTTTATAACTCAATATTTGCTTTACTGGTAATAGCTCAATGTAATCAATAATTCGGGAAGTATTATATAGATGAGGAATTTATAATAACGGTTGCTTTTTTAAGGATATTTATTTTTTATATTGCTAAAGTATATACGACTTAACTGACAGATGTAAATCATTTGTACACAGTAAATTTTCTATTTTTATACAATGGTAGTGAGTGAACACTTGGTGGGGATTACCGATTAATAGTTTCATGAAAAATTACAGAATTCTTTCATAAAATATAAGAACCATACTAGGACTAGTTTTTCCAGGTTTTCTAAGGTGGTTTATCTTTAATCGACTAATGAATTCAACTATTTAAGACTTCATTTGCAAACCTTCCATTTCTCTATTTATTTATGTTTCCATTCCTATTTTCTACAGTGCACTCTTCTCAACCTTCTTTTGACAGGTATTTAACTTCTAATTGATTTTACATACTACTTATGTCTGTCGACATAAGTAGCACTCACGGCACTGCTACTAAATAAAGTCACTCATCATTTGTGTTGTTTCATGTTCATTATATTTAAGTATATGTGTAGACATATATAAATAATAAACCCCTTCAATCTTGTTGAAAGACTTTTGCATTTTAATTTTTAATTCTATTCCATATAACGATGATATAATCATAAACCATTGGCGTCACAACTGATTTATTAATAAAAAACGTTGATTTATGTGAAACGTCCCTATTATATTTATAACCATCGAATGTCAGATTGAGTTATATACACTCGTAAAAAATGTAATTTATAACTGATGACATGTATCGTTTGTATGAATGAATGTATCTTTCTAATTATTGAGATATCAGTAGCTCCAATACTTAAGAGCTTTCTAATGAACTATGCAAACTTTTTATGGAAAATGTCATTTCAATAAATTTAGTTATATTATCTTTATTATTAAATGGAATTATTCGAGATTATCCCATAAATAAAAGTACTATGTTATAGTTCTGTGTATTTTATGAAACAAATAAAAAGTATGTACTTCATTAAATCAATCTAGAATATTTTACTATGACCTGATAAATTCACTTGGTATTGTTCGTTTTGTATCTTCCCATTGATGTTTAGGATTGCAATTGATCAGTCTCTTGTTGGAATATGTGCATACTGTGCGTATTGCCTAGATACAGCCTTAATTCACAAGCATTGTAAGAAAAGAAGGATATTGGCTAGCAGTGGAATCCAGGACGCGCGTTTCGTCCTATGTAGGACTGGTCAGTTGGATGTACCTGCATCCAAGACGGAACATCAACCCTGAGATGCAGGTACATCCAGCTGACGAGTCCTAAATAGGACGAAACGAACGTCCTGAATTCCACAGCTAGCCATGAGCTGATAGTTAATGTTACTAAATGTATACCATTATCAATCTTTAACTGAACTGTTTTCTGTAGTGACAGATTCAGGCAAGTCATTTCTTTAGGAATCCTTCTTCTTTTTAATGTATTCGCTTTTAATTTATAGATTCATTATATAAGTTGTTAACATTTTAAAAGAAATTTCTTGTCTATAGAATATTACTATTTGTTAAAAAAATATTGACTGTTTTATTTCGAGAAATAAAGTATTGAGAACAGATCATTTTGAATTGACTGTTTTAATCTTCCCATTGACGTTTAAAACTGGATTTCATCAGTATATAATGCTTATGACTGAAGTTAATATCGAGGAAATCCCCACAAGATCCACATATACCAATAACAGACTGATCAATCGCAATTCTAAACATCAATGGGACGATTCATGCAATCAATACCAAAATGAAGTAAAACTCACTACATAGCACAACCTAGTAACTATTTAGACTCAACAACTAATTTAATAATAAGATGACGTTTAAAATGGGAGACACCTGCTTCGAGACTTGGAGGGAACCTCATCTCTGTGATGCAGCTACATCCTGCTGACGAGTCCCAAACAAGACGAAACGTGCATCCTGGATTGCATTGTTAGCCACCACCCATTTTTGTTTATAAAGTATTGAGTTTTATGGCTTATTATGAAGTTAAAAC